TCAGCCTCCAGACATCCCTAGTCAACTCCCCAGTCAGCCTCCAGACATCCCCCAGTCAACTCCCCAGTCAACTCCCCAGTCAGCCCCACAGTTCGTGGCCAGATAGACACCATCCCAAGCTTTAAGTCACTCCATGTCAGTATTTCAGACACTGTCAGTCGACCCCCCAGTCAATCCAAGTTAGTTTCCAGTCGGTCCTCTATCAATCCTCTTCAAGAAAATTCCCTGAACCAAAGTCCCCATGCAATCTTTTGTTTCAACAACCAGTGATGGTGCAGATGAATTTCACATTAGATCATGATAGAACTGAACTATTGCCATGACATTAGTTAGAATATTGTGTATCTTCCAACTGCTGGACACTGAAAATGGCTACTCATATCAACACCAGCCTTCAGTCTGACAAGAGAATGCATTAACCACTGAGCTACCTAAACATACAGATGATCCTTTTGGTGTAAATATTTGTTAGAGGAACCAGTGAGTAGGTTTAGGCAGAACTAGGTAAAACACAATGTAAAACAAAATAATCTCTATGGACAAGTTAAATAAAAATAAAACCCAGTGTCCAGGCCCTGTTGTCACTGCACCGGGTTTGTCTCTGGAGCAGGTGCTGGCTATCCATTAAACCCCTGACATGGTGATAGAGAAAGACTGTGACGGTTTTATGTCTGTCCCTGACACTGTCTGTCACTCAGCTGCAGTAACAAGGCAGCCATTACTGTCCATGAGAGCTGGCAACCTGAGCTGGGCGGCACTGACTACAACCATTATCTACAGTGAACAGTCAGACACTAATTATTCTTCATGCAGTATAAGTGGATCTTTGACAGGGTTGTGTATGGGGCAGTGGTGTAGTGTATTTGGTTAGTTTTCATGTAAAGGTTAATTTATCTTTTCAATATTTGATTGTCAGGAAGAAAATTTCCTATAGTCATTACATACTGGGGGATGCTTGATGATAACGTGTGTTATTGTGGGCAGGAGGATCTTGTGTGCGTTGTAGTTAACATTTGTTTTGGCATATCTCTGAATGTTTGTTTGGACATAGGACTCACCAAGGTGCTATAGAGCTGTTGCTCTTCTGTTTTCAATACATGAAGGTTGTCAGGTGACAGAGATTGATTGCCCTATTAGAGATCACTTCCCCCCCCCCCCCCCCCCGTTAGTTTCCAAACTGGTAGTGTGTCAGGTGGGTTGGAGAGATCAGTTTCCCCGTTAGTCTCCACACAGGAAGTGTGTCAGGTGGGTTGGAGAGATCAGTTTCCTGTTAGTCTCCACACAGGTAGTGTGTCAGGTGGGTTGGAGAGATCAGTTTCCTGTTAGTCGCCACACAGGTAGTGTGTCAGGTGGGTTGGAGAGATCAGTTTCCTGTTAGTCTCCACACAGGTAGTGTGTCAGGTGGGTTGGAGAGATCAGTTTCCTGTTAGTCTCCACACAGGTAGTGTGTCAGCTGGGTTGGAGAGATCAGTTTCCTGTTAGTCTCCACACAGGTAGTGTGTCAGCTGGGTTGGAGAGATCAGTTTCCCGTTAGTCGCCACACAGGTAGTGTGTCAGGTGGGTTGGAGAGATCAGTTTCCTGTTAGTCTCCACACAGGTAGTGTGTCAGGTGGGTTGGAGAGATCAGTTTCCTGTTAGTCTCCACACAGGTAGTGTGTCAGCTGGGTTGGAGAGATCAGTTTCCTGTTAGTCTCCACACAGGTAGTGTGTCAGCTGGGTTGGAGAGATCAGTTTCCCGTTAGTCGCCACACAGGTAGTGTGTCAGGTGGGTTGGAGAGATCAGTTTCCTGTTAGTCTCCACACAGGTAGTGTGTCAGGTGGGTTGGAGAGATCAGTTTCCCGTTAGTCTCCACACAGGTAGTGTGTCAGGTGGGTTGGAGAGATCAGTTTCCCGTTAGTCGCCACACAGGAAGTGTGTCAGCTGGGTTGGAGAGATCAGTATCCTGTTAGTTGCCACACAGGTAGTGTGTCAGCTGGGTTGGAGAGATCAGTTTCCCGTTAGTCTCCACACAGGAAGGTTGTCGGGTTTGGGTTGGAGAGATCAGTTGCCACTCTTGTCTCAAAACTGGAAGGATGTGGCCTACATTACCAAACATACACATAATAATGGGCGATTTCCTTAACAGAACAATATATCTTCATTCCTTCAGGGACTTGGCTTCAGACAAAAGTCTCTGGACATGAATATTATTATTCCATTCTTTGATAAGACATTCTACTTTTTATTACCAATTCTCTTTGCAATTCTTCATGACTCTTTGACAGTCATTGTCATTGTCCTAAAATAGGACCTAGTTGAAACCTGACCCTGATGAGTGCCATGCATCCATCTTGCTTGTATAGATGGTGACACAGACTATAATCAGGTCCCATGGAGCACATGTATAGATGAAAGCTACTAGCAATCAATATATTCATGGCCAGAGGACTGTCCAGGCATCCACTCTTTACATATGGACATAACTGAAATTTATTTCAGAAATATTTTTGTCTCAGGTTTCGAGTAAAGATACTCTGTAACAAGAACGCACGTTCCAAACTGTGTTTTTTCATGTGGCCAGTGGCAATCTTTTAATTTTCAGCCTGGTGCCCCTGTGGGAGCACTGGATCAGAACTGGTTCCACACTGGGCTTAAGAGCCTTCAAAAATAAGGAACCCCCTGGGGATTTGGGGACAGAATAAGTCCCCAGTTTCCCATGCCTGTTGAGAGACATTCTATGAGGATTGGGTGGTTACAGTTTGTCACAGTGCCCCAATGTTGTTGATTGCTATCGATCACTGGCTTGCCTGGCCTGGCTGGATTAATTACAGGCCGCCTGGATTGGCTGCATTAATGCTACATTGCTTTAATCCTGACACAACACCACACCACACCACACAGCACCACACCAAACCACACCACACCACACCACACCACACCACACCACACCACACCACACCACACCACACTCACTTCATTCTCTAGAAGTTAACTAGTTGTGGTGGAATCAGTATAATGAACCTGTTTTCCTTATTTTCTAACAGTTTATCTTTGTCAAAATTAAATGTTTACATTGGGAAAACTCTTTTTCACTAACTTAACCCCATATGATCAATATTGTATTGGTCCTGAGCATCTTGTTGTGATATGCTATTCAGCTTTTGGTGAAAGAATATTGCTGGTGAAGCTGAAACCATTCACCAGTGAACTGTGATATTAATCCCAGTGATATGATACATGAAACATTTCATTCAGTATCAGTACTTTTTGTTTCACAAATCACTCAAAATATTTGGACATTGGATGGTTTAGAAATTGGTACAGATTGAAAACATTTCTCTGTCAAGCTTTTAATATTTTTATTCATAATCTTTTCATGCTAGTTTCTCTGATACGAACATCTGATTTCAGTGTACAAACCACATTTCATATTCTGTGTGCATTTCAGCCTGGGATTGTTGTTGCATTGCATTGCAGTGTAGGTGGCACTGGTAATACTTGCTATGAATAAGATGTTGTAAAACACAACAACATTCTGTACATCATGATCAGTGTTTCCAAAAGTGAATATATCTTTTTGTGACATGTGGGTATGGGTGGCCGAGTCTTCTAAGGCACTCCAGCAGCGGTCGGGTAGCCTAGTGGTTAAGGCGTTTGCTCGTCATGCCGAAGACCCGGGTTCAATTCCCGACATGGGTACAATGTGTGAAGCCCATTTCTGGTGTCCCCACGGTGATATTGCTGGAATATTGCTAAAAGCGGAGTAAAACCAAACTCACTCACACACTGAGGCATCGCAATTCGCTGTACAGAGTTACATATCTAAGGATGCAAGAATATTGGTTTGAAGATTCCCCCTGATTTTTGTTTCAGATTTGTCAGCACCATATCCATGTTTCACCAATTTGGCAATTTCCCCAAAGTTGTTATTTACGCACAAGCATATTGTGAGGAACAGATATAGTTTATAGATCTTGCTGATGACATGTTACTCATAATATCAGATGACAATTCTCACATGGCAAAAGATCAAAAGGCAAGTTGTCAATGGCTATTGTTTCTTCCTATCTGGAATAAAATACATGTAGGAAATACTATAAAAGATTTGTTTTTGTTTGTTAAGTTTAAAAGCAATAAAACTAACAAACTGGACAGTTTCCTGATGCTATAACTTGAGTTTGTAGATCTGTTCTTTAAAGACTCCAGGAGTTAAATAGATGTTTGTTGTGTAGTCTTGAGATATGAGTCCAGCCATTGCCCTTGCGATGCAAGTTTGGATGCCTTGTAGGTTACCCCCCATGTCAGGATGTTATCAGTATGACGCCTTCATGTCCTGCTACAATTGAAATATTTTCTGGTGTTATCCCTATGGAAATAATTCCCTAGTGTTCTGTACTTGCTGACTGAAGTGAGGTATGAGTAGTTACAATGTGTGGCCTTGTTGAGTGTGCAAGATTGTACCATCGCATGGATCTTTGCTCATACTTTCGAACCACTGGTTTTCCGGTCTTTTCCAGTCTGGCCTAATATAGCTAGAATATTTGTTACCATGACATAAGACCAGTGAAGATCTGTGTTAGAAAAGGTCTTCAACAACCCATACTTGTCGTAAGAGGTGACTAACAGGATCTGGTGGTCAGGCTCGCTGACTTGGTTGATGCATGTCATCCTATCCAAACTGCGTAGATCGATGCTCATGATGTCAATCGCTGGATTGTCTGGTCCAGATTTGATTATTACAGACCACCATCATATAGCTGGGATATTGCTCAGTGTGGTGTTAAACAACAAACAAACAAACCGTTACATAAAACTGCATTAACTCACTCTACTGTTAAATTGAGGTATTGGTAGAGATCACTGTTTCAGAAAAATCATGTAGCAATTGCACCAGCCTTGATGGTGGCATGTAATACATGTTTCACATTTACATATGTTAATTTTTATGATTTCATTGATGTATGGACAAACCTAATGTAACTTTTTTTTTTGTAACTAATGTTTGTTTTTGTGGTTTCAGGAATGGAGGATGACATGTTTGACACCCATTTGTGCCTGGTCTGCAACCAGACCATTGTTGGCCTCATCAACTACATTGTCCACAAAAAGAACCAGTGCCATGGAAAGAAGCAGACAGATATCCAGCCGGATACGCCTCATCCTGTTGCACCTGACAACACATACCAGGCACAGATCACCTCCAGCAGTCATCTCCAGCTGATGAGCACAGACCAGAATGTTGTCAATCCATCCTCCATGTTATCAGGACTGGGACAGAGGACAGACAAGGAGTTCTCGTCCCAACTCCTGTTCCCCCAAACCCACCCAGACGCCTATACTCAGCCCATGCAGACTTTAAGTGGCCCAACCTTCACCTCTACCACTGCTGCCACAACTCTTCCCACATCTGTCTCAGAATCTAGTCATTACTCTAGCCTTGAACCATGTCAAGGTATTACACCCCCAAGCAGTCAACCCAATCGTCTCTTCCATGCCCCCAGTTCACAGCTTAATACCATGCCTTCAACATTGTCCTCATCTCTGACAGCTGATCCACTCCCACCAGCAATAGCTTCAGAGCCATTGCAGTCTGCCTTACCATCTATCTCCCAGCAGAACGTTTCAGCATCACCCAGTCTGTCTTTCAGTGCCCCAGACACAAACCAGAACTCGCATAACACATTATCTGTTGAGGTGCATTCACCTCTTTCACGCTTCATCAACGCAAATCTTAGCCCAATTACGGGAGGAGCTGTTGATCCCAACTCTGTAATGCCCACAACCACTTCGGGGCATTGTGAAGACTTCTTCCAGTCCCTGGAGCTGCAGAGCAAAGGAGCACGGGAGCAAAAGTCACCCAGTGGATTTGGCAGAGATTCTTTGAATCATCACTCAAAAGGATTTGATGATGAAGATCATGCAGACATTGATCTTCCAATCTCGAAAATCCTGAGTAATCTCGACTTCAGTTCTGATGAGGATATCGTAGACTTGCCTTCTGATGATGATTTAGATTGTAACTTTGATGTGTATTCGGATGATGACTTTGACAACCCACCCAACTCCCACACAGGAGGAAAGTGGAAGCCAGGCGAAGGTCCTCACTACAAGCCTCAGGGTAAAAAGATGAAATGGAGACTTGGAGCAGGGCCAATCCGACATGGCGGGAAGTGGAAACCAGGGATGACACACGGGAAGCACGGACCTGCATCCAAAGGAGACCAAGGTCATGCATCCAAAGTAGAGCAAGGTCATGCATCCAAAGGGAAACAGGCCCCATCATCCATAGGCAAACAAATAGACACAAGGAACTATGAGTGTAAGGTTTGTGATATGACTTTCAATAATAGATTTCTCTATTCCAATCATTTCGGGTCCAAAACACACAAAGACACAGTTACTGCAAAAGATAGTGAGAAATCAAAGAAGATGGATGAAGAGCAACAAGAGAAGACAGGAAAGAGTAAGAGCGAGAGTGATGGTCAGGGGGTGAGTCCTAAAAAACAAGTGCATGTGTGTACTGTTTGTGATAAGAAATTCCACAGAAGATATGAAATTGCAAAACATCTTGTAACAAATTTCCATAGAAATCGTGCCATGAAGCATCCTGAGGCAGTGAACATGCTTCAGAAGTACCATCAGCTGGTGCTGAGACTCAGTCCTTATCAGTGTAAACTCTGCTGTTTCTTTTTCAATCGGGAGTGTGACTTCTTTAACCATGTTGACAGTGCAGAGCATGTGTCCAGCTGCTCCAAGGCTGTTGGGCAGCTTGTGTGTGTTGTGTGCAAGTTCATGGCCAATGATTGCAAGTCCCTGAATGATCACGTCAAGGGCACAGAGCATAGAGTTGAAATGAAGAAGTGTCCAAACTTGTGCATCATCAAAGAATATGTCTGTGAGATTAAATGTAAATACTGTGGTGTCGTAATGAACAACAGAAAACGTATGAGTCGCCATATCGCCTATCGCCACCCACAGAGACAGTTCACAAAGCCATTTATTCGTGTGAAGGGGGGCCATCATCCAGAATGCCCGGACTGTGGTAAGATTTGTGTGTCTCCATCAGCACTCATTGTACATATCAGAAGGAACCATACCAAAGAAAGGCCATTTAAGTGTGATCCATGTGGAAAATCATTTGCTGTTCTAGGAGCTTTAAGTAGCCATGTTAAATCGCGGAGGCATGAAAATAAGTTGAAGCAAAATGCTGCACTGGAGGTGTTGGACCAAGCCTTGAGAGGAAAGCTGTCCGAAGGGATAAATGTGAAGCAGGAGGAGGAGGAGGAGGAGAAGGACCTCGCTGGGACACAGGAACTGGAACATGATGGGATCAGGACTGAAGAGGGGGTGAAGATTGCAGATGAAGCATCGAGTGAGGAGGAGGATGAAAACGAAGATGATGCCATGGTGATATTTGATAAGGAGGACGAAGCTTTTCCAGAAACTGATGAAAAGAAAGAATGTGACTTTGGATTTGAGTCAAAAGAAAAAGAAGAAAGCATTCACACAAACAAGAAGATTATCTTGAGGAAGCGAAAGAAGAAAAAGGTGTTCAAATGCGAACATTGTGACTTTGCATGTGGCCTGTATTCTGACCTCCGACCACACTGTGATGAGGTTCACCCTAACGAGGTGCACTACTGTGAGATGTGCAGCAGCACCTTCCTATCTCTGAAGGCGTATCGCATCCACTGCTCGGGCCGTTATCACCAGGAACAGATGGAGAGGAGCACGGAAACAGCGTCGGACCTGTTCTACAAGTGCAGCATCTGTGACATGAAGTTTGTGGATGAAAGGTGGAGAAACTTCCATTATGAGTACCAGCACAACCACCTCAACAATGAGGCTTCACTGCACGAGATCACTAAGGGGAATGACAAGGTTACAAAGCTGTATGGGGATCATCTGCAACTCTTAGAAGACTTGCCCAAAAACACCTCTCTGTCTTGTCCCGAGTGTGGAAAATTCTTAAAAAAAGATCATCTTGTGGAGCATCTAAGGCTTCATACAGGCGAAAAACCCTACACGTGCCGGTTCTGTGAAAAGTCTTTCGTAGCTAAGCTCTCCCTCCGTCGACATCTGATGATGCACATGGGTCTTACTGAGAACACGTGTAATATTTGTGGGCGTGAGTTTAAGAAATTGGAAACCTACCGGAACCACATGGAACAACATTCAAGTGAAAAGGAGGGTAGTAAGTGCATCTGTGATGTCTGCGGAATGGTCTTCACATTAAAGAAACAGGTGGAAGCACACATGAAACGTCACGGTGAGCGCAAACATAAATGCCCCATTGATGGATGTACCTGGACATTTGTGATGCGACATGAGCTCAAGATGCATATGCTTACACATACCAAAGAGAAAAAGTTCCTTTGTGATATTTGTGGTTTTGGTGCAACCACTAAAAACCGTCTCCAGCGCCATGTAAAAACTCATTCTGGTATCCGTGACCACCATTGTATGTACTGTACATATAAGGCCGGATGTAGCACCCACTTACGCAGACATATGCGTATTCATATAGGTTCAAAACCCTTCAAGTGCCCTTATTGCCCGTATACATGCAATACACATGAAAACGTTAGGAAACATATTGCCAAAACAAAGAAACATCAAGGACTAAAAATATACCCGTGTAAATTTTGTGAGTTTGGGACGAACACAGGCAAAGAGTTCCGTGACCACCTTCTGACTAGTCACCCTGATGAGGTGACTGGTGAGAAACTAGACTCACTGTCTGTCTTTTCTGGACTGTATGTCAGAGGGGACGATCCCTCCCAACCACAGGAAGGAACCAAGATAGTCCATGTCAAAGAGAGACAACCAAAACCACAAAGAAATGCAATCATGCAAAGCATAAAAAATGTTAGATTAACCAATCAGAATGCAGACATTCAAGGTGCAGCTGCAGTTATCTCCGAGGCAGCCAATCATGTTCCCCGTCAGCCAATTTGCAACATTGAATCTTATTGGTCAAATGACACCGGAAGCAATAGGAATCATTGGTTCCAGGCAAGTGATGCCACAAATGCTATCACTGCCTTGACCTCTGACCCAAGTAACCTCTACGCTCAGCCAGTGTCGACTTCAGAGAACTGTTTTCTTGTGAATGTGGCTCATGGCGGAATCAACAGCAGCTCCACCAGCTACCACGAGGGATCCGTTGCCAACGTGGTTGTAGTCTCCAGTGACTTCTAAGGCTGAAACAATGATGGTTAAAGCGTTCACTTGTGATGCTGAATGCCAGGGTTTCGATCCCCAATGGGTACAATGTGTGAAGCCCATTTCTGGTGTTGCTGATAAGTGCTGTAAACCTATACTCACTCACTCACTCACACATGCACTCATTCATTCATTCATTCATTCATTCATTGGGGCAGTCGGGTAGCCTAGTGGTTATAGTGTTTGCTTGTCACGCTGAGGACCCGGGTTTGATTCCCGACATGGGTACAATGTGTGAAGCCCATTTCTAGTGTCCCCCGCCGTTATATTGCTGGAATATTGCTAAAAGCGGCATAAAGCCATACTCACTCACTCACTCATTCTTTCACTCACTCACACACTCTAGGGCTGTAATGATACACGTGACCAAGACATGATACTTATCTTGGGGATACACACTATGATACATACAATCTCAGCACTTCAGTGTCATGTTAAATCATTGAAAGGAATGAAGACGGGCATTAAATATATTTAGTACATTTGAGATAATAATTATTGTAAATAATATTGCCACTGATAATTATATGACCGTCTTCATGGTCTAGTGGAAGGGCTGGGGTTCAATTCCCGGCCACATCATCCCATAAGAGATGAAAAGGTGGTACTTGTTGTTTCACTAAGTGGTGCTTGGCATGGGGGGCTAAAACAAGGATTGGTCATCTCAGAGTCGGCATGCTGTGTCTGAGTAGGGTATTCATGTTATACTGCAGCAAGTGGGCTAGCACTATAAAATCAGCATTAGTCCAGACTAATACAAGCAGCCACACACACACACACACACACACACACACACACACACACACACTCACATGTGCATGCACATCGTTATATTAGTGCAACAATCTTGGAACGCAACATTAAGTCCCATTTCACCTTGATGAACTTTTGCACCCCTAGTGAGGTCTGGTGTTGAGACATCAAGCCATTGTTAACCCTATTTATTCATTCATTACTGTTTTCATGAAAGATTGGAAATCCAATTTTATGGTGAGTTTATGTTTATGCAAGATTTAAGAGTTAAGCTGAATCACTGTTAAGGGCACATGAAGTACCTGCTCAGATGAAAGAAATGCTTCCGCTTTAAGTTTATTTATTGTAGTCATTGTTAAACAGCAAGGGATTCCGGAATATTTCTGTTGGCATTTTGCTTCTGTGTCCATATCACAGATGTCAAAGGTCAAAATTAACCTAACCTCTCCAGGTCAAGGTTAATCTAGACCTCTGGGTCAAGGTTAATCTCTCCAGGTCAAGGTTATCCTCTCCAGTACACAAAACATGTATTGAGTGAGGGAGATGGGTCACAGAGATGCCATCCATTATTTTTTTGTATTTCTGTTTTCAATTTGATTTTATCAGTAATATTAATATAAAATATTTTTGTTTAAATTATTTCATACAGGGCATAAAGTGCCATATACTTATTGGTAAGGCCTTAGAATTTGTTACTGGAATTATTTTACCCAGACATATTTATTAGTTATTGGCTCCAATGAATGTCTTGATACATGTATATGTAAATCTTCTGTGGTAGTTATCTCCAATGACAATAAAGGCAGATCTTAGTACTGCTACTGTGGTAACTTTCACTAACATCTGATTTTAATGCGACTGAGTGTTCTACTTAAAAAGAGCTGTTTTGTTTCAGAATACAATATGAATTGGGCTCAAGTTTCTACTCTGATATTGTTGAATTATTTTTGTATGAATTTCTTATAAACATATATGATAAACTTGAAGTTTTGCCTTCCTGCATCACAGTCATTTCTTTTTTTATAACCAGAGTAAAAAGCTCATTTAGATATATCAGAACAGCATACCAGCGATTAGGATCCTAAGGCAGGGCAGGTAGTTTATTAATATTTGCCCAGACAGTGATGTTTGGTGGATGAACGTTGATGGGACTACCTGGTGACAGAGTTATACTGTACTGGGCGGCAGAATGGATTTATCTAGGATTTCAAACTAAGTGCTCTCAGAATGCAAATTGGAAAACATTTTAGTTTGTTCAAATTTTTTATTTTTTTTATTTAATACAGAGGTACTTCAACATTGAATTCAACATGTTCAATGCAATCATATAATAAACATTACAATCTCCTGGACTTAGGTTATTGGTCCTGTTACTTGTATTAGTGGACTACTCCACAAAGCCATAACATTAGTTATAACCATTATATGAAGTTGGGAAACTTAACTGACATTTGCTGCAGACTTGGGGCTAAATAACGGCCTGTTAGTCCTGCACCATGACTGTGGAATATATGAATATATATATATATTTTTTATTTTATGAATTTTTTTTATCTAGAAATGCATACAAAAGCAAGTCTAGCTAGCCAGCTCAAGCCAGCTCAAGCCAGATCAGCATAGGGAATTATTTTTAAGTTTTAGAGTCAAGAAGGATATTGAGTGATAAAAGATTTCAGATTTCAGAGAGCCTGTGAGCTGGTCTAGATAAATCCCTGCAGGACAGGTTTCCACAAAGACAGTGGTAACTCCCGCACTGTGGTGTACTCCAACATCAGTTATAGTGCTAAGGACACTTTGTGGCATAAGGCCCAGGTCATTCATTGTAGATGTGGCAGTTTAAAGACTTGCCATCCATGTGTGTATTAAGACATTAAGACTTGGTTTTGATTCCCCACATGGGTACAACGTGTGAAGACCATTTCTGGTGTTCCTTGACGTGATATTGCTGGAATAATGCTAAAAACAGTGTAAAATCATACACTCACTCACTCTGTTCTTAATGTCTTTTAAGCTCTCAACACTGTTCCAGCAACTGTTGCACTATGAGTAGGGCACAAAAATGATGCTGTGAGTTTAGTAACATGCATAATGTTCATACTCTTAATTTTGAGGTCAAGAATTAAATTATGAAATGTTTTTGCACACATCTCACTGTATAACAGGTCTTATAGGTTTCCTTGTCTTTTTAATTTTTCAACTGCTGTCGCCTTTCAAAGCTGATCATGGCAGTGAGAAAGAAACACACTAACTGGTATGGTGATCAAGTTTTTATGAGAGATCATGCTGTCACCATCTGCCGATCATGTGTGTTTGCACAGATGTTATCAATATGTTTATGTGTTCTGATTTACAGTGATTTGTGATAAGGTTAGACACTACGTCTACAGACCTACCCATGAAAACCAGCCGAGAGTAACCAAACTGTGGAATGTGTACACACTATAAATGGAAACAGCCACTATTACAAACAAGACACAATCCCCATTAGGGGTGCATCATAATAATTATAACCCACCACAATTTTCAATGGAGCCAAACACACACATTGTTTGTTTGTGTCTACACTGAAAATATGCATGATTTATGGGCTTAGTGTCTTGTTTGTAATATGAGTGACTATATCTGTTTGAAGTGCGAACGTATTCCCTAGTTTGATTGCTCTGCTGGTTTTTCATTGGAAGGCCTGGACAAGTCTGCCTATCTTTTTAACCAATCAGGAACAACCGAAATTAGAAAGAAAAAAAATTACTTTTGATTTCTTTTGGGTAGCTGACTCTGTTTTACAATTACATAGATGAAATGAAAAAGACATATGAGATTTTGTCAACACTGTTTATAAAAAATGTTGAATGATACATACAAAAATCTTTGTTTTGATCAAAAGAAATTAATTATCTTTCAGTATCTTTACCATGTTAACTTTAAAAAAAAAAAATTCATTCATTAACAGCAATATAATTTTGGAAGTTGAAATTAAAGAACACATTCCAACCACCAACATTGAATACTGGGCAAAGTTAATTTGGAAACAACTAATAAACAGTAAAAGGCCTAATGATATAAACCCATTTGAGTACCAATGATCCAACAAGCAGTATTTGTGTTTGGTTTTTATTTTATATTCAAATCAATTATGGTGTTCTCAATTTTATTAATTGTTGATTTCTGTGCCACTTTTAGAAAATGCAGTGCTTGTTTCATGATTATCTTGTTTGTTTTGTTTTACATGTAAGATCAAAAAGATTGAAATAATTCTGTGACTCATCATAAGTCCCTAGATTTAATGTCCCAAGTCCAAGTTGAACCTGCAACTGGCCATGTTGATTTACTCTTTTAATGAAAGTAATTGTGTGCTCATTGTGCTTGTGAAGAATTGTCTCAAACGTTTTGTTAATGAGAGTATCATGTGTGGATGTGTCTTGTTCATGTATGGATGTTGATGATGGCATTAAATCAATGCAATTTGGACTGCTCTGTTCGACTTGTTTTTCTCGTGTGTTCGATGGAAGGTTAGTAGAACATCAGTGTGGCCCTATCACACAGTATAACGTGAAATGAAAACCACATGACAACTGTTTCACACTCAGCTGGATTGCATGGATGAGCCCCTGTCCAGAACGGATGCATTGTACCTACATGTTTCTTGGTTTGACACCACCAGACCCCAGGAACCAAAGTGGTAAATGTCTCAGACTACATGACAATCGTTTCACAATGTGCTGAAATACATGTGCCATAAGGGATGCATTGTAACTAGATGTTTCTTGGTTTGACTGCACCATGTCTGTGCTCATTGGTTTTACCAAAGCGATGAACACCAATGACCAGCAGTCCTTAAAGCTTTCTGTGCTGATACATGCTGATATACCTGAAATACTGTTCAAAGCTTGTTTTAAATTCCCTTGAGCAAATGTAAAACCATTTTAGATTTTCAGAACATCAAACAGGCCTAAATTTCCTTTTGCCATTTAGAATTTTGAAAGACAATACTGTTTTAGTTCACCTGCAAAATCATTGTTCATTTGTCAGCTGGTCCATCATTGAACATCCATTCTGGACTTATGAAAGTGAGATTTGCATGCGACTTTCTTTGACACTTTTAGCTGGAATAATTCGGAGTACAGCATTACACAACAAACAAACAAAACAAACACCGCAAGCCCTTGATCTTTAGTCAGGTTAGTGAATCAGGAAATGGACTTAGTCCATGTACAAGCCAACCAACATGCTATGCTCCTTCATCTTCCCGAGGCAAGAGACTTAACTGACTCTAAAAGTACCAGTTTCCACCCTTGCCGAACTAGGCTGGTATTCCTGGGCTCGACCGTAGCGCCACTGGTGGCTTTTACCAATCCACCTCTCATATCACTTGCATT